GTGGAAAAACTGCCATGCCTTCAGAGGTTTTGTGGAAGAGCCGTGGTATCTGAAATTAAACCAGGAAGACCAGGAAAAGGCCCTTCAATTTAATCAGGCGGAAATCAATGATGACCAACAACTGGCCAAAGAGCCTTTCATGTTTTGTTTCCAATTCAAGGAAGATATGGACGTTTTTCTTTGCGAGTGTCTGGACAAAAGGCACCTCAGGATTAACTCCATGTTTATGGAGTTTTGATTTAATTTAGTATTAATGTTATTTTTGAGAATTATTGTTAAATGTGTGCCTGCATAACTTCAATTTATTTATTTACTTTAGTTTGATTTTGTATTTTTAATTAATTGTATTTATTTGTATTTAATTAATTTATTATATGAGAAGGCCATTATTTGTGTTCTTTTTGAAGAGTTCTCGGAGCCTGATGAAATCAGTATAAATACGTGTTTAATACTGCAAAATATGCTCGATGTTACAGTCACTGCCCTTGCTTTCCAGAATAAAAGAGAACATCCTAATCAAATGAAGGGATTTGTGGAAACTGTGGTTCCTAATTATTGTGATCCAACATTTGCCTCGCATTTCAGGATGAAAAGACAAACATTTCAGCTGAAGGATACTCCACTTCTTACCTCTGAGACTGTGTTATGATCTATATGACATTATTATTTTTATTGTGAGTATTAGGCTTATCATTATTGCTGATCACTGTTGTTGTGCTATGATATTGTAATATTTACCATTATATAATCAGAGGGGCATAGAAAAGTTTATGAAAGTATCACTCCATAATACAGTAGCAAAATATATAAATATGTAGAGTATTTTTATGTTACATTAATCAGTGTCTAGCACACCTTCCTAAGGAAAGGATATGGACCAGAAGACATTGCAATTACTAAATGATACTGTATTTAGACAGACTTAAAGAAGTTCCAGATCTATACTTGTGCTCTTATTATTTTAGTTATTTTACCTTTAATGTAAATAAACATGTGCAAACAATATACTTGCTCTTGTGAATTTATTTTGATGTTAATTACATTGTGCAGCTGTCACAGCCACCAAACAAGAGAAAACGCATCTCAAACCCCGTTGCACACCGTTGCACACCGTTTCCAGGAAACATGTCGTTGAAACCGGAAACCGTAGCAAAACGGTGCACACCGGTTTGAGCTTGAACTTGCCCCTGGACTCAGTGATTCTCGCCTTCAGTCATAAAAAAGATGACATTAAACAAATATTAAAAAGATACTGTCTTTCTGTTGTTTCTACATTAATTTGAAGATTGAATGTGAAATGATTGCAATATAAAAGTATGTTTAATTTTTTAATCGATTGACAGCACTTTACATCTATCCATCTAAATGCAACACAAATAATTCACATTTAAAAAAAATATCGAAATAAAGAATAACATTCTAATACAGAAGGTTTATTAAATATATTAATTAATTAATTAAAAAGATCAAATAAAGTTTAAAGTTTTACTTTTCAGTGATCTATTATTCAATTAACTCTTTTGCAAATACGGTAGTATAGGCCTATATTTTTATCAATACACTAAAGGCAGCCAATAAACATAAAATTCAACCATAATTACCTTAAAACATGGTTTAGAATGACTGCTTTTGGTTTTGTGTATGTGAGATTTACCAAATAAAATAATAAGATTCACCGTGAAAATGAATTATACCAAATATATTCAAAGTGATTCAAAGTATATAAAACATAAAATTGCGTATTACATTACAATGTGATTAAATGAATCGTGTTAGACATACAAAAGAGAAATGGGTTTCCTAAAACGTGTTGTTTCGATGTTTACGCCAGCTTTCAGTACAAAAACTACATTACCCACAATCCACAGATCAACCCACTTCCGGTCCAAGAGTTTGTAAACAATGAAAGGAGATATGGAGTCGTCAAGAGTTCTTACCTAAAAATATTGCCCTGTACAGGCCATAATAAGTGCATAATATATGTCATGCATGCCGTTCACACCCGTGAGGATTAAACCAACCGGGACGTATAGGTTTTCAAGGATTCCCGCTTTTAAAAACATCTTTTGTGTGTGTGTGTGAAAATCGGATCGCTGCCTGGCGAGGCGTTTGTTTTTCTACATACTAGACAGACACCAGACACAACGGGCTGCAGAAAGGACGATCCCTAAACACAGCGGAAGCCTGGCGAGTCTTTTAAAGGCCACCTAGACGTGATTTTAGCGGGTTTGTCGTGTCGTGTCGTACAGGGTCAGCTCGATGGGGAACTGTCTGTCTTCTCAAGGCGCTGATGATCTGTCCCTGCTGGACGAGTCCGAGGGGGCGAGTCTGCCCGGAGAGCCTCCGCCACCCTACCAGGTACCCTGCCACATACAAGACCGCAGTGCTGCCCGAGAGTCGTTCAGCTGCTCACAGCACAGTCTAGACTAGTCTACAGGCGAGCTCGGATTGTGCAGTATACTGTATGTTGCAGTAGTAATAGCAATAGCTATGTCACTGTGAGATCTTGATCTAAAAAGGAACAGGAAAAGCTCGCTGTATGCAGGTTTTGAGAAATGCAGTTTGTCATTGATATATGCATTTTTGGTAGATTGTATTGATTGGGATCTCTGACTGAGAAAATGTGTGCCATGGTTGTTTTGAACATGGTGCTTAGGTACTACGATGGCATTCTAGGTTGTAAATATAAGATGATGGCCAGATCATATTTTTGAAAGCCTGCCATACATATGAAAGGAATGCTTCCTTAAATTGCAACAAATCTGTACTTAATGTCTTTGCAAAAATAAAATTGCAACATAATAACATAGTTTCTTCTATTTGTTTTTGAATACAGAATAAAAAAAAGTATAATGCATTATGTAACAGTTCAGAGAATGTGATATAAAGAACAAAAAACAACCGTAATGATATTGTGTTTTATGAATTTTATTGCATTCACAAATATCTTGTTTTGTGTTCTCATGTTTGAAAGAACATTAGTCATCATAAGATCAGTGTTACATGTATAAGTTATTCTGGACTTGTGAATGCAAAACTTTACTAAAATAATAAAAAAGTTAATGGTGTAATTTTATCTTTAGGAAAAGCTTGGGTTTTGTAAATTAAGTAAACATATTATTATTATTATTATTATTATTATTATTATTATTATTATTATTATTATTATTATTATTATTATTATTATTATTATTATTATTATTATTATTATTATTATTATTATTATTATTATTATTATTATTATTATTAGGTTCTAAATTTAAAGAAATTATTTTTTTTCACTGCCATTTCCAAGCTAAAATGAGAGAGAATAAGCTATTAAAAAATCAATCTTCAAATAAAATCAATAAAAAAAAAAACATTGCTCTTTAACTGGTGTGTTGCAGAAAGTATATTCATCACATACGAAATGGATATATCTACTAACGGCTGCAAAAACAGGATAAAATCAGTGAATAATTGGTAACACTTTAAAATAGGGAACACTTGTTCACTATTAACAAAGGGTTTTTCCTCAACAAACTCCTGATTTGCTGCTTGTTAAGGGATCTAAAATATGGTTGTGAAGAATAAAACATTAAGATGTGTTTTATAAGTACTAATAAACAGCCAATATGCTAGTAATATGCATGCTAATAAGCAACTAGTTAATAGTGAGAATTGGTCCTTAAAAATAATTTTTTGTTATTTCCTTTATTTTGTTAAACTACATACTCTTAAAAATACAGGTTACAAACGAGGGTTTTCACCGTGATGCTATAGAAGAACCATTTTTGCTTCCCCGAAGAACCTTTCAGTGAACAAATCTTAAAAGAAGCATTTCATCTTAGTGTGATTTTAATCTAAGGAACCTTTTTCATTTTAAAGATCCTTTTGTAAAATTGAAAGATTCCATGAAGATGGTTTTTCATGGAACCATTGATGCCAATAAAGATTAAAGGACCTTTATTTTTAAGAGTGTGCAGTCAAAGAATGTCCCGATCTAATTCTCCTGTTTCTAATAAGCTGTCCTGTGTCCCCTAACCACATGTGGGCTGTATTAATTATGTGCGATCAAACGCTCTCGTGACCCCAGGAGCGGGTGCAGGTGCCAGTGTACCATCCCACGCCCAGTCAGACGCGGCTGGCCACTCAGCTGACGGAGGAGGAGCAGGTCCGTCTCGCTCAGCGCATCGGGCTCATCCAACACCTGCCCCGTGGGATCTTCGACCCGGGCTCAGAGCCATCCGACAAGAAGATCAAAGAGTGCGTGATATCCAGAAAACACTTTCTAATTAGTTGGTTGCATGTAAAAATGTTTGCCATCTGCCCACAGGTGTGTGATCTGCATGATGGACTTTGAGTACGGCGACCCGATCCGGTTCCTGCCCTGCATGCACATCTATCACGTGGACTGCATTGACGCCTGGCTCATGCGCTCCTTCACTTGCCCTTCCTGTATGGAGCCCGTCGACGCTGCGCTGCTGTCTTCCTACGAGACGAACTGAGAGTGCCTGCGCATACCGAGAGATGTGCCAATGAGTCTGCCAAGAGCCCCGAAACGCTCGGGACAGTAGATTGAACAAGTGAAGGTGGCGTTACTGTGTCTGTGTGTGTGTTCAGGGACTGTACAAATTTCCAGTGTTAAACTTAAAAGGCCCCCGAAGGATGTTTAAAACCTCTCACTTGCATGTCAAAGCGCTTTTCGAACACGTATACATGTAATTGATGTAGACGTGAAGTTTGGCAAGGTGGAAAAACCACTGAAGCATCTCTAATGAAGACAGAGTGTTTCAAAGGCCAATTTAAATTAGGGTTAAATTAATTCATTATATACTTGTTTTCCTTTTTGTTCTAACCAAATTCATGAAATGTGCAATATATGCAAGAGGGACTCATGTCCTTCTGATTGGATATGAAACCCGCCCATCGCCCAAACTTCCTCCAATGAGATGGTCCCTTTCTGAATTTGACGAGTCCAGTGGGCGGAGTTTCATTTCTGCAGGCTGTGAATGTGCCTTTTATGGCTCGCAATTAGAATGCTGAGAAACCTTCATTACACGAGAGAACCTAATTTACGAGAAAACGTGCCGTGCTAATGTTTTACTTGCAATCTCGTGATGCACTAACTGGTGTTTGAGGTGGTAGTTTACATACTTTTTCTATCATTTTCTCCCATCTAGTGGTTTAGTGGTAGACTCTTGAGTTTTCTTTCTTTATTTGTCAAGAGAGTGATAATGATACAATCACCAAACTTTGTGCACCTTTCAAATGTTGCCGACTGAATGTCATCATTTACAGTGGAAGCTTTAAAGTTATGCCTTGTTGTTTTCCTGATCAATGCAAACTTTTTTTTTACTTAGAAAAAACATGAAATTAAAAAAGCAGCACATGCTTCAGTCAGTTTTTTGAAACTGTTCGTAATGTCTTTGAGTCTTTTCTGTATGTTAGCTGAATATATGTCACTGAACTGCTTGTGCAAAAGGAAGATTTTCACCTTTGTTTTGTTTGCTCAGATATTGCGCTGGATTAATGATGTTAATCGGACTGAACTGTGTTAGGAGCCCCATGTTTAGCCTGAAATTATATTCATAAAATAGTTCATCCTGCTCAAGCTTTCCTCTGTATCTCTGTACTGAATCATTGTGATTGAATACCAAGAACAGTGTCTGCAAATCTCAAAAGCAACCTGTTGTTGCTCTTAGATATCATATTGGATGAATTACTTAATTTTCTATCGATGATTTAAATGTAGCTCTAGCACAACACAAATGTAAAAATAAATGTAATAATTCTGTGAAGTACAATCATCACAACATTATATTTTGTTTCAGAATAAAATAAAATTCACTTAAAAAAAAAGAGTTGATTGGTGCCATAGAAATGTCAACAAAAACATTAGCAGACATACTATTAAAATGATTTGTGTTTTGTTTATGTGCAATAATGGCACAAGAATAGTATTATAATACAATAAAGATTGCCAAATTCTTCCATATTTACGAGTTTTGTGTGATTCTGTCTTCCAAATACACAGATGTGATATTATTATTAATAGAAGTGTATTTACACTTCCAACTAATGAGAAGTGAAATCTGAATAATCACTTCTGGAATATTCTCTTTCAATGAAAGTAGTTGGTACAGTCCGGCTGAGTCATCAGCGTAACCAACTTCCGTTCGCAACTGGCCACCCCTCACGGGCCATTTTGGATCTAATTTCTGTCCATTCAAGTGCGGTGTTTCTGCTGTTGCGGAGCCAAAATGGCGGAGTGTGCAGCTGCCGTTCTGGTGTATTGAGCGCAAGATGGCAGCTTCAGTGGAAGACGAGTTTGAAGATGCGCCTGATGTAGAGCCTTTAGAGCCGACATTAAAGAATATCATAGAGCAGAAATCACTCAAATGGATATTTGTCGGTGGTAAAGGTGGCGTGGGCAAGACAACGTGCAGGTGAGTGAATGAACGGCGGGGTTTTACAGCTGAGAGGCTGTTAGCTGTCAGTGCTGCTTTAGCAACTCAACACAGATTAGTCGTTCTTACATATTTGCTGTATAAAACAAAGATGAAAACACGTTGAAACTCAACAGCGTGTCTCTTAATATGTATGTTTAAAAACGAACAAATGTTCAAACGGTTCTCTAAATATAATCTGCCAGCAAATCTTACATGAGTCGAAATGGTAGTTTGTTTCATAAAAATACCAACGTGTGGGTAGTTCGTAAAAGCCCTTTCCTTGTGAATAATTGATAATGCATTAATTATTTATTAAAATATTACAGAAAGATATTTCATGAAAGCGGGTGATATTAATCATCTAAGCAGCTCGTATTTACATTTCTGTCATAAAACCTCTGCTATATATACAGCCACGTTGCTATTCAATAGTAATAATGTGATTTTTACTGCAAGAGTTTTTTTTGTTCTTGCAGTTAAGATTGTTCTTCCATGAACAGATTGACCATTCGTGATTTAAGTTCATTTGTCATTTTTGTGTTTGCTTAATAAAGAAAGCATACTGTTTTAACAAAAAAAAAAAAAATCTGCCCATATTAAGGGTTTGTCTTGATCATAAGATAATATAATGTCATTCACAAATGCTGTTTGATTGCTGATTTCTTCTCTGGATGTAAATGATTCTATCTAGACTAAGTTTTATTTAATGATTGATTTTTTGGCTTGTGTTGCAGCTGCAGTCTGGCGGTTCAGTTGGCAGCGGTGCGAGAGAGCGTCCTCATCATATCCACAGATCCAGCACACAACATCTCAGATGCCTTTGATCAGAAGTTCTCCAAAGTGCCCACCAAAGTCAAGGGCTACGACAACCTCTTTGCCATGGTACGGTATCAACGGCACACACTGTTTTCACTAAATGCGCTGTGTACACTAAAAACAATGCCATGACGTTGACCTACTCAATCCATGTGCACAACCATAAAAGCAGATCTATTAAACTGCAACTTTTAGCTTATTTATACCGAATCTATAACTATCTAGTCAATGAAGTAATTGTAAATAGGTTGTGGTGATATTCAGTATTTCACCCAGCTCTGCATGTCATAAATCTCTGTGTCAATTTAAAATTGAAACACGTGACACTTGCTTAGACTGTGTGTGAGATTCACTTCAGGAGCTTGTGCTGTTCTTGTCAGAAACCAAGAAGTGACCAAGAAGATATGCAAAAAAAAGAAAGAAAGGGAATGGTGAAACTAGGACACACACAGTATTATTATCTGGTTTAATGGTTACTATTCTTTGCGATTTTAGTTAAATATACCAGTGTTTAATTTGGCTTATTATAACCTCGTTTAGATGATGAAAGACATGAGATAAGACTGTTCTCCATCGTCGTGTCTGTCTGTAGGAGATCGACCCCAGTCTGGGTGTGGCGGAGCTGCCCGATGAGTTCTTCGAGGAGGACAACGTGCTCAGTATGGGGAAGAAGATGATGCAGGAAGCCATGAGCGCTTTTCCCGGCATCGACGAGGCCATGAGCTACGCAGAGGTCATGAGGTCAGACTCGGACAGCTTCCTGCATTGAACATATTGCACTGTAATAGTCTCACAATGCAATAGTTCTTTCTAAACTGCATCGTTTTGTAAAGCTCTTGTCATGGGGGTGTTTAGATGAGGTTTCAGCCTTCATTAGCTTTTCAAACACTGTTGCAAGCTGAGAATGAAACAAAAGGGCTCCAAAATGAATCGCAGCATTACAAACTTTCCTTCAAAGCAAAACGGTATTTGAAAATCTAAAGAGACAAAGGTAAAAGTGTGCACTTGTTGTATTTCATAAGGGAATGAAGTACTGTGAATTACATAACTGAATAAAAAAAAATAGGTCTGCAGTATTAAACTGACATTATCTTGACCTTTTAATGCAATAACACTGTTCCACATCTAGATGGCGAACCACCAACAACACTGTTCATACAACACATCAATACAGTCATTTTGAAGCATTTAAAAAAAATAAAAATGTGTGTATACACACAGGCACTGGAATAATTATTTTTTAACGAAATAAGTATCTTATGCTCATCAAGGCTGCATTTATTTGATCAAAAATTGTAGTATTGTGAGATTGTTTTTATTTAAAATAACTGTTTAATATTTGAATCGTTTGTAAAATATAATTTATTGCTGTGATATCAAAGCCTTGGTGAGTATGAGATTTCTTTCAAAAATATTATAATTCTTAATTATTTCAAACTTTTAACCACCAATGTCAACAGTGTATATAATATAAATAAAAATATATAATTAATATAAAATGTATTTATTATATTAGTAATAAAAAAAATTCTGAATTTATCCCAATCCCATGTCTCCTTTTTTTTTTTTTTTTTTGTAGGTTAGTGAAAGGCATGAATTTTTCAGTGGTGGTGTTTGACACGGCCCCGACGGGACACACTCTGCGTCTGCTCAACTTCCCCACCATCGTGGAGAGAGGACTGGGCCGCCTCATGCAGATCAAGAACCAGATCAGCCCCTTCATCTCACAGGTATCAGCACTGCATTCTGGGAATTGCAGTGTTTGTACAATAGCACCACTGGACAATAGTGCAATATACTAGTGTACTGTAGAGAAATGTATGAAAGTTTATAGAAAAAGTATGAATGTTTAATTAAAAAAACAATTTGACCTCTATTCCACCTACAATTGAACTGAGTTAAATATTAGGTTTAAGTGTAGTTCTGGCAAACCATTGCAGATGTGTAACATGTTGGGCCTGGGAGACATGAACGCAGATCAGCTGGCATCTAAACTGGAGGAGACGCTCCCCGTCATCCGGTCAGTCAGCGAGCAGTTTAAGGACCCGGTGAGTGTCACGCCTCAGTGGTCCCCGTTAATGCCTGATCAGAAAGATGAAAAATGTTGATCGCTAAATGTTGTTTCCTGCGTGGCATACAGGAGCAGACGACGTTTATCTGCGTGTGCATCGCAGAGTTCCTTTCTCTGTATGAGACGGAGCGTTTGATTCAGGAGCTGGCCAAGTGTCGCATCGACACACACAACATTATCGTCAACCAGCTGGTTTTCCCCGACAGCGAGCGGCCCTGCAAGATGTGTGAAGCCCGACACAAGATTCAGTCAAAGTACCTGGACCAGGTGTGTGTTTGTGTTTGTTATGACACATGACATTTATACTGTAACAGGGTTTCTGTTCTCATCGAATGGAAAGTGTCTGTCAGTGGAGGTTCTATACTGTGCCCCTTTTGTCTCAGTATCTTTATGGTAAAACATGATCTATAGCAGGGGTTCTCAAATGGCGCTTTTCCACTGCGTGGTACGACTCGTCTCGGCACGGCTCAGTACGGCACGGCATGGTTCGGCTCGGCACGGTTTGCGTTTCCACTGCAGTTCAGTACCGCTTTAGAGTGGGCGGGATTATTCACATGTCGTTACAGTTGCGCCGCCTCTACTACCACGACTCCTAAAAAAACTTTCATTCTGCATCGCCCGATCAAGCTCTCGCTGGATCCGCTCCTCTGCTAACAATGAGAGGAATGTCTGTACTTCCGCAACAGACTTTAAAAAAAAAAAAATGAAGCCAACTGAAGTAGTACTACAAAAAGTACCAGGTACTGTACCCAGTGGAAAACCCCCCAAAAGTGAACCGTACCGTGCCATACCATGCAGTGGAAAAGCTCCAAAAGTCTACATTCATAGGTCCAAATCAGAATTTTCATCAGTGTCAAAGGTCCGGACCGGAACAATTGGTTATTACGAAACTTGTTTTTAATAAACATGCATAACATGCATAACACTAATAACAATTGCAAAAGTGGCAAAACCAATTAATTTGTGTCAGCAATAGAGGTCGACTAATATGGGTTTTTCTCTGGCTGATGCCGATATTTAGAAATCAGGGCAGCTGATGGCTGATATATGATGCTGATTTTTTTTGGCCGATATGTTTGGCCAATTTTCTTTTTTTCCCTCCATCTCATTAAAGGGAGTTTGAGTTTGAATGTTTATTGCAGGGTACAAGATGGTAATAGCTAGTAGTAGTAGTAGCCTAATTCACAGTAATAATACATGGCTCAAAACTTAAGCACTTTCTCAAAACAGTTCTGAAGCATGCTTTTTGTTTGTGTTTGCTGACAGACACCAGTGTTTCCCACAGACTTGCAAATGCAAATGAATTCTCTGCCAGCAGGAGGCGCTGTTGGAGCGGGAGATATAGCGGTTTCCCCGGTAACGGCTGTAATCAAATAAGTGCTGCTGCTCTCAAACGATATCATCAGGCATTACAAGAAAAACGAAATGAAAATGACATCGAAGCTTTTCGGAAGGCAGTCGGTTCTTTTCAAAGATACATTCATATAAAAACACCCGCGCTGCATTTTAATTTTGAAACGTGTAGTGCTCATGTTTCAACGAAGTAGGCCTATAAGCCTCTTGAAAAATCTAGCTATTTGTGCCGGTCAGTTTTGATATAGTGACGGGCCGCCACAAATAACTCAATGTATGGGAAACACTTGGACACTGCTAGAAGTCAAATGACCGGCATAATCTAAGTAATAAAAATACCCTCATAGTAGCGGTGAAGTGTCGCCTGATTAGGCTATGTCACGCGCTCACTGTCATGACAACAGTCACGCAGAAAAACTTAAAATATCTCGCCTTCGCTTTCATTTTGGACCATCTCCAAAAAGACATAAAAAAAAAAAAACTAAATTAAATGATTTACAAGTTTAACAGTTAATCAAAGTAGGAAATTAGTGCTCTTGAAATACGAAATGGAGGCGGGTCCGGATTGAATTCCTTCGGGATCCGGACCGGAGTCCGGACTTTGAGAAGCATTGATCTATAGGATCAAATGTCATTCAGATTTAAACAAAGGCATAATTTACTACAGTTACGGTTTACTGCACCTTCAGGAATTTAAAAATCAAATCTAATTTCTTCAATATTTCCCTTTCTTTTCTGTTCCATTTATTCTTTTACTTCCATTTTCCTGCTTTACTTTTTATTTTTCCTCTTCCTTTTGTTCTTTACACTTTTTTTTTTTCCTTTGTACTTTCATTACTTTCCCTTTCCTTCCCCACTTCTTTTCACATTCCTTTGTTTTTCCTCAATATTCTTTCCATTTGTATTTGCTTTTTCCTTTCCCACTTAATTTTCCTTTGTTTCTCCATTAAATTAATACTTAATCCTTCTGATTTTTTCCTCTTCCTCTACCTTCTTTCTTTGCATTTCCTTTTTTCCTTTCCCCTTCTTTTTTGTTGTCTTTATCCTTGTCGTTTTCCCCTTCTTTTCATTTTTTTTCTTGTCTTTTCCCTTCCCTCCTCTCTCTTTTCATGTTCTTCCCCTCTCTTTCTCTCTCAGATGGAGGATTTATATGAAGATTTCCACATAGTAAAGTTGCCTCTGCTGCCTCACGAGGTTCGAGGAGTGGACAAGGTCAATACTTTCTCCAAGCAGCTGCTGGAGCCCTACAGCCCGCCCAAGAAGTGACTTAAATGATTTCCACGGAACAAACACACACCATCGCATCCCTCTGGTCTTCACATCTCCACACACACCTTCATTTCCCCCCTCACTTTCTCTTTACTCTCTCTGGTTTTCTGGTCATGCCATAATTGATGCCGCCATGATGCTCCAGTGATCCATTATGAATGTCGGCCGAGAGTTAAAAGGCCTGTTTAGACGTCTTGATGGTTTATGTTGCTTTGTGATGATGTATTTAAGCATAAGAAACACTCATTCCTGATGTGTATTCAAGAAAGGAGATTTAAACTGATTTCAGTGCAGGAATGTACATCTGGACTCTGATTCAGTGGTTGAACGGGAGTAGTATCAAGTGTAAATGTCTGTCTCTAGTTCAGTTCAGATTAACCTGGCACATCTGATTTTAGGATCCGTGAATGATACCATAAACTTTGTTTCAGGTTCTGATCAATATGAATAGACTTTATTTTGGTTCCTGGACTAGTCAGTATTGTTAATTGAGAGGGTCCAAACTTGGGAAGATGATGCATTTAGATGATGCAGTTTAAGGGATAGTTCACCCCACCCCCCACAAAAAAAAGAGAATTTTGTCTTTTTTTTACTCTCTCATGTTATTCCAAACCCTAGTTTTTTAATGTAATGCACAATTCTCTTCTTGTGTTTCATGCAAAAATAATGAACCGCATACAAGCTTGTAACAACAAGGGTGAGTAAATGGCTGCATTTTCATTTTTGGGTGAACTATCCCTTTAAACTTGCATTTAATCGACTTCTGTTTGCAGTGAACCAAACTGTAATTACTGTGTATAAACATTGTGATTCAATTTATCAAATTTAATTTTTGCAGTTAAAGTGATTGTATTTATATAGACTTGTAATGACTAAGATAATTTCCATTCAAATCTTTTTATTTGAGAGATGTCTTGTTCTTCCTCTCACTTCTGTTCTTCTTATCATTTGGCAGTAATGTCTGCATGCATCAAAACACAGGAACACACACACCCCCTACAAGGAGATCAGAAGCTCATTTAAACCCGCCACACAAACACTGCAACCTGTCAGCTGAGACCACTATTACACAGTACTATACCGCGCTGGTTAAGTGTGTTTTCCTGCTTTTATCATCCTGTGATTTCACAGCATGAAGCAGTGGGCTCCTTAGTTCATGAAAACCATGGACAAGAACTCACAAACCTGACAGTGTATCGGACCGAAAGATTTGAATCTTTTATCAGTTATTAGTCAGTTTTGCTAAAGATTCTTCATTCTCTTTTATCTTGTTACTGCCTTTCCAAATTTGGCTTCTTTTTGTAGAAGCACACTAAGTTTCAAAGCAAATAAAACCCTATCCTCCATCTACTGCAGCAGGTGTTTCTGTTCAGTTATTTATGTGAATAGAAATATTTTGTGTGTCTACCAAGGCTAAAATATTTACCATCACATCTAAACAACATCTTGAGTTTAGTAGAACTTGTTAATGGTAATGAGTGGAATTTTACCATTCAAAAGTCTGGAGTCGGTAAGATTTGACATGTTTTTGAAAGAAGACCTTTGTTCAACAAGGCTGCATTTGTTTGAACTGTCATCTCTTGTGACCCCAGATTGAATGCAGTAAAAATGGTAATGTTGTTAAAATTTAAAATGACTGTTTTCCATTATAATATATTTTTAAAATGTAATCCTCCAGAAATCATTCTAATATGCTGATTTGCTGCTCAAGAAAAAAATATTTTGAAAACAGTTGTTTAATATTTTTGTGGAAGCTAATTTTTTTTAAAAGATCCTTGTACAAATGGGCCAAATACACTGAATAGGGAGATAAGAAAAGCTGAAAAAACAGTTTTCCATCAATACAGAGATTAAATGACTCTCGACCTGTCGCGCTGACGTCTGTGGTCATGAAGTCGTTTGAGAGACTGGTGTTGGCCTACTTAAAGAGCATTACTGGACCCCCTGAAGTTTGCTTACCGAGCAAACAGGTCTGTGGTTGATGCAGTCAACAATGGACTGCACTACATTCTCTTTTATCTTGTTACTGCCTTTCCAAATTTGGCTTCTTTTTGTAGAAGCACACTAAGTTTCAAAGCAAATAAAACCCTATCCTCCATCTACTGCAGCAGGTGTTTCTGTTCAGTTATTTATGTGAATAGAAATATTTTGTGTGTCTACCAAGGCTAAAATATTTACCATCACATCTAAACAACATCTTGAGTTTAGTAGAACTTGTTAATGGTAATGAGTGGAATTTTACCATTCAAAAGTCTGGAGTCGGTAAGATTTGACATGTTTTTGAAAGAAGACCTTTGTTCAACAAGGCTGCATTTGTTTGAACTGTCATCTCTTGTGACCCCAGATTGAATGCAGTAAAAATGGTAATGTTGTTAAAATTTAAAATGACTGTTTTCCATTATAATATATTTTTAAAATGTAATCCTCCAGAAATCATTCTAATATGCTGATTTGCTGCTCAAGAAAAAAATATTTTGAAAACAGTTGTTTAATATTTTTGTGGAAGCTAATTTTTTTAAAAGATCCTTGTACAAATGGGCCAAATACACTGAATAGGGAGATAAGAAAAGCTGAAAAAACAGTTTTCCATCAATACAGAGATTAAATGACTCTCGACCTGTCGCGCTGACGTCTGTGGTCATGAAGTCGTTTGAGAGACTGGTGTTGGCCTACTTAAAGAACATTACTGGACCCCCTGAAGTTTGCTTACCGAGCAAACAGGTCTGTGGTTGATGCAGTCAACAATGGACTGCACTACATCCGGACAAATCAGGGACTTCTGCAAGGATCCTGTTTGTGGACTTCAGCTCAGCTTTCAACACCATCATCCTGGATACCCTCCTGCTTAAACTGACACAGCTCTCTGTACTCACCTCCATCTGTCAGTGGATCACCAGCTTCCTGACAGACAGGCAGCAGCTAGTGAGGCTGGGAAAACTCATGTCAAACACCCACACCATCAGCACTGGAGATCCTCAGGGGTTTGTGCTCTCCCCACTGCTCTTCTCCCTCTACACAAATGACTGCACCACTAAAGACCCCGCTGTCAAGCTCCTGAAGTTTGCAGATGACACCACAGTCATCGGTCTCATCCAGGATAGAGACGAGGCTGCTTACAGACAAGAGTTTGAGGCGCAGATGACACAGTTTTACTGTTATTGAGTCATTCTGTGCTCTCCTATAACTGTCTGGTTTGGGTCAGCCAGCAAATCAGATATAAGAAGACTGTTAGGACAACTGAACGGATAATTGGTGTGCACCTGCCCAACCTTCAGGACCTGTACAACTCAAAACCCAGCCACAACCTGTTTGCTGGCAGACGTTACAGATCTCTGTGCACTACAATATCTAGGCATAAAAACAGTTTTTCCCCCATGCCATCTCCAGCCTAAACAGCTAACACAGAGATTACCACCGGTCTTCTGTAATTCATTTCTTAATAACTAGTTATTGCCTCTCTCTCATGTATTATGTATACAGTAGTCAACATTTGAAGTGGATCAAAAAAGTTTATCAAAGTTGTCCTAAGACAAGAACGGGTATTGTTTTGGTTTTAGGACAACTTTGATGAACGGTTTTGATCCACTTCAAATGTTGACTACTG